TTATTCATCAACAATGGTGATTGCCAACAATCATATCCCAAATTCATTCAACAAGGGCTATTGTCACATGGATTGTAGTTCATCATGAATAACATTTCTCTTTAGTGGTAGACAATTTATATAAAATAATGAAAGTAATTCATAAAATAATTAAGTGACATTAATTGATAAGCTATTTTATTTGTAGAATACGAGTCTTATTTAGTCCCTTATTTGGTTTAGAACAAAGCAAAATTTTAATACATTTTTATAAAAATTAATGCAATATATGGTTGAACAGTTGTGAATCGTATAAAATGTGTAGTTAAAATTCATTATTGACTTTGATTTAGATTTTAATCAACTTTTTTTAACTGAACCTACTGGGGCTTAATATGAGATTAACACTTAAAAATGTCATCTAAATGAGGTAAAGAGAGAATAATCTATGATCTAATTGAAAAATAAGAGAATTTGTAGAAATTAAGTTGAGAGAGAGAGAGAGGGGGGGTGGGGCAAGTGGGGGCCAAATGCAATGGTGGGGTTGGGAATTTTTGGGCATGAGCATCAAGTAGACAGACAGGGTGGGGTGAATTTTAAGATGAATACATTTGATCATTGACTTCAGAGCCCCTTCTCTGCCAAAGAAGAATGTGGTGTGATTGAGATTGAGATTGGGATTGGGATTGGGGATGTCAACATTTCATCACGAGTTCTCAAATTCGTCGTTTATTGAAGATGTGATGTATTTTAATACATTGAATAAAATAATATAATTTTTTATTTGCTAATTTTGAAATTATAATGATGAATATGATTATTCAACAAAATTTATGACAAGACGCATAACGACGTAAACCATGAAAAGGGTACATGAGAACACTATCTTCCTCTATTCTGTAACTATCATTTCTCGTAAATCGTAATTAATTAATTTTTTAATATTATACTTTTAGTTCTAAGTGTCACATTTTCGATGTTTTCCTCTAAATCTATTTTCTTCTTTTTTACCCAAATAGTGATTTGATAAAAAAAAAAAAAAAAAAAAAAGGGGAAAAAAAAAAAAAAAAAAAATGATTTTATATACACATGTTTGGATTGATCTCACTATGCTATCAATGTGCAGTCTAAGATCTTCAAAAATTTTCCTATTTCTCGCCATTTATATGTGATAAACTGTGCAAGTAAGCACAATTCTTTTGGATTTGCTATGCCAAGATATCCCTCGGCCCTCCTTTTCTACTTATTGAATAGACTGCTGATTAACTAGGTGACTTGATTGACACATTTTATAAAGTTATGTGATGGATCCATAACAAATTAAAGTTTAGTAGCCAAGGTGATAGCAAGTGCAAAGCACACTATATATATACAGACACAACCTAATAGGGTACAAAGATAAGAACTAAATCACAGGGGCCTAAGCCCCAATATGGGGCCCAATCCTACCAAGCCTTGAGCCGGGCCAAGTCATGGACAGCCTGAATCGACAAACCAAATTGACATTCCTACTGAAGCCTTAGACTCATATAATGGAGCCCACATTGATGCTTGTGTTAAAGGTCGACATTAGAGGAAGATTTTCAATAAGTAAACTTGTATATATCAGTGCGTTACCTATATTTATATTGCAGAAAAATTAACAAACCACCTACTTTCCGTACCCCTACTGTCCATTCTTCTATATAAATAAAAAATAATGGTTACTTACTCAAATTGTTATGAATTTACTACCCTGTTTCATGTATGCATTTTCAATCACGGTCAACTTTTCAAACTCCTTTTCTCCAACGTCAATCCTTTTTAAGGGAAAATTTCACTATTGGTCCTCAATCTATTGTCCAGTAACAAGTTAATCCCATTATTTTATCCTCGTTATCAGTCCTCAATTCTAGAACAGTCCAATCTTTGTAAATTTATTAGTCAAATTCCATTCTCGATAACTATGCTTTTACTCTATTTCATTCGAGTAATTGCAATTCTATTTTGTTTAGTTAGATAACTATATGTTAAGTTGATTTCAATTAGGCATTTCTATATAATTTCATCACATGAACGTATAAAAATTGATGTTATATTGGTCAATGAATGATGTTCACTATTTATTTCAATGAAGTTGTACTTATTTCAAGTCAACAACTAACCATTATCTGTAATTACCATCATTCTTTAGTTGTAACGTCATCGATTGTCGTCGGTGCAATTGCACAAAGTTACCTTATTTGAAATCTAATTAATGCATAATTTTAGATTGAAATCAAATCAAAATGTGACTACCCAATTGAAATAATAATAAAGTATAATCACACATTAAACAAATTGAAGTACAATTACCTGATTAAACTAAATTAAAAGTATAGTATCGTGAACAAAGTTTACTCTTAAATCATTACATACAAATCACTTTAAATTTCTAAGCGTGAATCCAAGCTAAAAAAAAATCAAATATATCTTTATAAAATTAGACATATGAAGACCACATAAGATTTTAACAACAATTTGATATGTTTTCTTTAGTGAGAACTTATTATGTAACTCTAGTAAAAGGGTTGTAAACCTGGTTACTCATTTTCAAAGGTAGAGGCCAACTCGTTCTTTGAACAATAGATTAGTGACAATTAGTGCAATTTTCCCATCTTTTTAACCTGGAAAAGTTAAATGTGTTAGGTAAATGTATATATTAGTTGGCATTGATTTTGGCTTTTTTTCTTTTTCTTTTTCTTTTTCTTTTTCTTTTTTTTTTTTTTTTTTTGGGTGCTGGAAAAAGTAAATCCTAACTTCATTATTGCTCCCTCTAATTGGTGTATTATCTTAATTAATACCCACTAAGTCCTCTAGTATTAATTAATTCCAAAAAGAGCCTAATTACAAGGTTCTATCTTCAACTTGGCCTCAAATATATCTGAAATTATAAAAAATAAAAAAAAACACAAATTAGTTGACAAGTTATCGGAGATGAGGCAATTAGAATAACGAGCGTGAAATGTGGAGCCTCGATCAAAAATCAACACAAATCAATGAATTGATAAAGTTTCGCTCTTTCTGTTAGAATAAACTTATAGTGGGCCTCAACATCTGAATTAAGTTTAAAATTCACCAATGAATTTCTATGACACATTACCGGAGCTTAACATATAATGAGCATGGATTAAAATGTATGTACAGAGGGGGGACTACCGAATCGTGTCCCCCCCTCACATAACACGCGGGCCCCGCGTGTATTAAATAATGTCGAGTCGTAGCCCCCATCTTCTATTGTGAGTAGTAGATAAATGATTAGGTAAAATATTCGATACATGTAGCATTATCCAATGAGCATTGATGTTCTCGATTACAGAAATAGGTCTAACATACATATCACTAACCAGAATAGAAGATTCATTTTCATAAAAAATAAAAATAAAAAAGGAATTTGGCAACACATTTTTTAGTATCCCAAGAAAAATTGATTTGCTGGAAGCATAAATTGGGTAACGAATCTGTTGATCTAAAAAATGCGCTAACAAAATCTCGTTCACCCTCCCTCCACATATATTACCCACATACTGAAACACCCCGTTAAAATGCAAAGGCCACCGATCGAGAAAAAATGCTTCACGACTATTTGCACTTCGACAATCAAGTCAATGGATGGAAATGATTTAATATAAGCGCGACAGAGGCAGAGGGGTCTTTGGCTAGGGTTAAATTACTTACCTTGATTATGAAATGATATCGCATATATATAGATGGAAGAAAATGCGCCATGATGGGCCGTTAAAGCGGGCCATAGTATAAGTCCAATAAGAGGTTGCACGATGTTACTTAATTTAACAGGCACAATCCAATGGAATAATCAATGCCGAATTAGCCAATGTGGAATCCACTCCATCACGTGCATGCCACGTAATTTATAAATATAACAAAATCCTTAAGCCACTTCATTAACTCTATCAGTTTTAGTAATAAAGACACGTATTGCATTGTCGAATTAAAATAAAAATATAAGGTTAATTATCAAATCAAAACATATTAAAGTTAGGTGACATCCCTCGAAGTTTCCTCACATGGGGTTGGTACTGTCCGCAGCAAAGTCACTGAAATAATATTTTAAGATAAGCTGAAGTGACTTTGTTTTTACTTAAAATGAGATTATTAATTAAAAACTTGTTAATTATAATTAATTAATTCTTGGACAGTCACTGCGCGTGCTGATACAGTCAGATTATTAATATCTCTTTTATATATATTGCAATTAAATATTTTAAGAATTATTTTAATTAATCTCATTAGGAGTAACATATGTGGAAGTTACCAACTCTCACCAGAAACTCTATTGAATGGTTAAAAGATTCATTTAAATGTAAAAATATTGACAGACAAATTTCTTTTCTTCTCATTTTGAAAGTGGCCGTCACATTAATAAATTCCATATTAGGTCAATTCGAACCTGTTCTATGACTTATTTTCAACCTATTAATTTTCTATTTAATTGAAATTCTCAAAAGCTATATTTGGTATAAAGATTTCATCATCCCCCCCTTAGGAGGAAAGAATGGTCTGGTCATCTTTCTTACGACTCGTTACTACAGGTTCGAAAACCCCTTCGGCTTCTTCCATTAAAAAAAAAAAAAAAAAAAAAAATTTTTCCTATCCTTAATCGTTAATATCGTCTTGGAGTGCATTCATTCAATGTTCATTTTGTATTTCATTAAAATTGAGGCTAATCCTAATATTAATGTTATTCTGTCCAACTTAATCCTTTAACGAGAAAAAGAATCGACTAGTCTATATTGAAGGTAGGGACAATAAGTTAGGCGAGCGAGCGAGCAACACGAAATAATAAGAAATTTAGAAACTCAAGTTATATGAATTAAGTATCAAAGAAGAAACTTGAGCCATCATGAAATAAATTCAGTTACATAGTTGACATTCTTTTAGATAGATTACCAATAATAAGCAAATTATTGATGTTTAGGTATAATGCAGTAGTCAAGATGGTAATGAATGACAGATGAAAATTTGGGGACTACTAGCATTCATTTTATAAATTTATTTTTCATTATATCAACCATTTCAACGACATTCACCATTTCAGAAAGAAACACAGTATATTTCTGTACTAAATGTTACAAAGAACAAGCCATATGATAAGTAATGGCACTTGCATTAGTGAAAGGCACTCACTTCCATAGAAAATAATATCCCGGTAGAGCTATGAGTTTCTAAAAAATGTGAAAAAAGAAGGAATTTCCACCTTGTCTTGTCAATGTCGAATGCAAATCCATCAACGAGAGGTTTCTGTGGAAGTGAAATGATATATCTCTGTTAAAGAGATCTGGCAATATTTTTGAACTCGTTCAAGCATGAATGCAGTATTTTTTGACGCTTCTGAACGGAAAGTCTTTCTTTTTCTAGTGAATCAATTGCGCCAGGTGCAACAAACATCTCCATGAATTTCTCATCACTCACAGCAAATAAATCCAATCCAAGCGCCACCATAAGATGCTCACGGCTGCACAATTAGAAAGACGATCTTTAATAAGCCGATTCTGATTAAATCATTGGCATATATTAAGCGTTAATGGATTAGTGGGTTGGATGTGGACAACACCACAAGAGGAAACAACTATTTGGCATGTACATTTTTTTCATGAAGCACATTCAGATACTATTTGCAATAAACATTAACATAGACAAGGATGATTCATAACAAAGAAGAATATTAACCTACCAAGGAGTTAGAAAGCCCGAATTTAAAGTTGATGCCACACTCCGCTCAACCAGAATTTCACGAATTCGTGCAAAATGCTGTGCAGCTGATGAACATATCTCTAAATAAGTTGATCCTGATTTGGAACGAGCATCCCCACTCCCAAATAGAAGGCTACCACCATCTTGGCCCTTCAAAGGATCCAAATTTCTGTTACTGCCTGTGATTCTAGATTGGCGTTTTCTTGCTCCAACTTCAATGCAATGTCCAAGTTCCTTTTTGATCGGATAGTTTCCATCACATGGCTGATCAGGCGATGGAGTCTCGGGCACTGTCATCTGGCAATCTTTAAGACCTTCTCTAGCTTCAGCTACTTTCCCTGGTGTGGTTTCATCTTTTTCTGGGGGTATGTTTTCTTGGTCATTCATAATTTCCTTGCGCAATGCAGGCCGACCCCCATCAGATAGCTCAAGACAAAATGAACCAGCTGATGCTTGGTTGAATCGATGAATTGAGTTTACACCAGAATCGAAACTCCCCCGGAAGTCCTCGTAGCAGACCTGAGAATACGGGCTTGTTACTGAATCAAGATGGTACCTAACTACTTGTTTGCACTGCTCAGCGAGATCCTTTATGAAGCAATTGTACGAGTGCCTCAAAGCAGCATGAAAAGCAACATAGCCATCAATTTCTCCAGATTTTTTACCACCTGAAAAACAAAAAATGAATCCTATCCACGAGCTCATTTCTTTTTTTCCACATACATCCTCATACTTACATGTAAATATGCATCTTAAATCTAGAAATTAGGCCGTGTACAAGGGGACGAATACAACATACACTCATCAGGCAATTGGAAGGTTTATGGACCAAATAAGGAATGTGGAGGCTCATTCACGATGAAAGAATTCTAGATCTTCCATAATGGTAATCTCACTCACGGCTCATTCACGAAATTTGCACAGTTACATAATACAAAGGGACACTAAACAAAGAACATCAATTAAGCGCTAAAGCCAGTTAAATTTTTTGACATTTCTGTCCTGCAACAGAAATTACCCCAAAGCGTCTGCACAGAGAAGAAAATGAAATGAAATTAGATTGGACTCCTAGCCCCTCTTTCATTCTCTCTTTTCCCTTTCATGCCTGTGGCAACCTGGCAATCCCTCTCTCCCCTTCATTAAACGAACCTTCAAGTGGGCAAAGGTGGTGTCAAATGTAGTCCAGCTATGATAAGATCCATTGCCAAATACAGTGTAACAGTGTATCCATAATAATAATTTTATATAAACCTTGTCCAATGAAAAACAATCACTTTATCGACGTACAACTACAATAATTATCCACCTAGTCATTGTCATCCTTAAAAGTCTAAGACTGCACTGAGTAATGATCATATTGCTAATGAATCTGATCTCTTCAATTTACCGAATGGAAACTAAAATAGCATTTGAAAATGGCAATTTTTATAGATTTCTTATTGAAGGAGACTTTAACGAAAAAGAGACATGGAGTCTTACCGACAGACGGATGGTGTCGATCTCTCTCAACAGCAATATCAAATAGATTGCCTAAAACACAAGATAGCCGATCGCATGCTAAGTCAAGAAGGGGAGCAAGCCATGATCTTGCTGCAGCACGTGCAATTTCTGCAGCTGCCTCTGCCACACCTCTATTCCCACCTCGGCCAGCATGGGCAAGTAAAATATTTGCTACCTGTCATATAAATACAATAAATTTCATTTTCTGGCTTCTCCCAAAATTTTACTTACTTTAAAAATACCTTTTCCCTTGATACAGCAGGGCATTCCACGGAATATGTAGCACATCGAAACTCATGCACCACCCTTTCAAATGCAGCACCACCATAAAGACGAAGGGTAGCATTTGGAGGCTTTACATCTTCTGTAACACCTGGCCAACCACCTAAACCACTCTCCGATTTTTCCTCATCAGTTGTTTTTCCCCATTGCTCTGGTGCAGGATCAGCAGCTCCGTCAAGAACTGCTCCCTTTACCAATAACAAAACAACCACTATTTAAATTTCTAATCCAGATTTTAAATTCAAAAAGAGCACAAGGCTCAAAAGAAAAATATGAGCTTTTCACATATAAATATAGACCAGATGATTGCATATAGAAGCAGCATGCAACATGGCAGATCTCCGAAGATGAGCAACGTTGGAAGTTGCCTGTATTTTAGTCTCTATTCTGTCCAAATCAGCAGTGACTTCAGAATAGCGCCGCTCTAGCAAGGATAATGTGGTTGGAGTAGCTTCTTTGTATTTCTTTTGAAGCTCAGATTCCAAATAATCTCTGAGGCAACCAAAACCAATGTAAGATTTGTACTTTTCCTCGTTAAAACCCCCTTTGACACTGTCATGCAGATAGTGCAATACTTCTGCATCTACCTGTGATATTTGCCTACGGAACTCTTCATTGGGAACTGTGTTCCTATCTTTTGGCAGGGCAACAAAAAACGGCTGTGTATTCTCTCCAAGGTACCCATTTGCACCAAAATAACGATCCACTTCCCAACGGTCATTGAACTCCTGAAATATTAACACAATCATAATCACAGTAAATCTTGAAGTAATAGATTCTTCAAGATTGACCAAAGAAGTGGATGATCAAAAAGTAATTAAGCTTTCATCAGTATACAGATTTAATAACAGAACTCATCCCGTCTATGATAGAAAATAATTTGTTTGAATTTTTTCCATTAGATAACTATTCTTGGTAGAAGAATTGATGAATTTATCAGGAATATCTCCACAACATAGCGAGTCAATGATACTGCATCCAAAAAATTTAGATTAACTTGCACATGCAAGAAGCAGATGTTGATATGAAAGCTACTGACATCCGGTTGCCTGTGATGAGTTCACACTTTGACTGGAAATGACTGATATATTTAACTGAAAGCACTCAATAAATTCGTGCTTACCTTGAGCCGGTTATCAAATTTGGAGACAACAATTATGGTCCGTTTTAATGCCGGATCAATTTCACGAATGGAATCCAACCACAATGACGAGCACCACTCAACGCTACTCTGTTGGAGAAACAAAAGAATGCGATGTGGCGGACTAGCTAAGGACTTGACCATTGACAAAATTTCATCCGGTGTATTCTCAGGTTCACCTTTCTTTGACTGCCAACATAATTTGAAACATGATAACTTC